TTATATAGTGCCCTTCCTTATCCTTTGTGATGGATTTTACTTTAAAGTCTATTTTGTCAGAGATTAATATTGCCACTCCTGCTCTTTTTTGTGTTGTTTCCTTGATATAAAGAGGCTGAGGAAGGAGGGGATGCTGGAATGGATATACGATGAAAGAACAGAAGAGCCACTAGAAGATTATGTTCCATGGGTGGGCCCAGAGCACACATCGTTCATCAAGCCTGCTTAGAAGTGTGCAGCTGAGAGGGATACCAGTGTCACTAGGATGTTCAGTGGTGGCTCTCCTCTGAGGGCTGGGATGATGGTAGAAGAAGAGATCATGGAGCTGGGCTTGTTAGTATCCCTGAGGATTATAGGGCCTATAGTAGTAGAGAACTACCAGAAGCCAGGAAGCTGCAATTCCCACATTGACTGGCAAGTTCAGAGGTGCAGCCAAGGTATCCTGACCTTCAGGGAGTCGTGGAGATAGTTAATATATCATGGCATCCTAAGGCCTTCTTAAACAGCATTCTTAACACTCCCAACCTCCTCAGGTTCATCTATAATAAACGTACCCCTTAAAGTCAGGCACACCTTGCCACATTCCAATTCTACAGATCTTGGTCATTGCCAACTTGGCCTAAAGTTTCTCTTCATCAGAGTCTTCTTGTAAATGGAGTGCAGATGATTCCCTGTTAACAGTTCCCTGTTACCAGGTGAGTAAGAGCAAGTAAACCGAGGCACTTGAGTAAAGTAAAAATGGCTGCTTTAGAGTTTGGGGCCCTACTCTATCTTGCCTTTCTTTTGACATATGCAGACCCCTGACTTATTCTTTAAGGCGTGTGACTAAGTGTAAACGAAAGAAAATGTTCTCCTTTTCTCTGTGGTTAAACTGAGAGAATAACAATAAACTGTTTCCCAGAAGCTATCAAGACACTTCCTGAAATAATGTCTCAGGAAGAAGGCGCTGATGCTCTTATCTAGATCTCCTAGGCAATGCTGACAAGAAAAATTTCATCTGAGCGAGCTGTTTCTAAGAGAGAAACGTCCTGTAATCTCCTCCTTCGTAGCCTCCGCTTCCAGTAAACCCGCCTAGTGTTAATCTAAGTTTGTAATGTCCATTCAAAATAGTGCACCTCAAGCTCTTTGTTCTCACCCTTTAAAAAGTCTCCACAGCTTCACCATTTTAGAGGCATTTGTTCACTCTGTAAAATCAGACATTTTCCCCAGTCTGGACTGTTATCAGTAAATCTCCTGGCTTTATTTTAACAGAGTGTTTATTACTCTTAGACACAGGAATTCCCTAGTAACAGTCTTAATCTGGTTTCAGCCCCCAAATGAGAGAGTCAGAAAGGTCCTCACGAGTACTCGTGAGACCTCATATTGTACTTTACAACAGGAAATACTTTCTGTAAGAGGTGCCAGGAAGAGGCAGTTTTAAGAGTTGTCAGAGGGAGAAGCTTCAGAAAGGAAATTGTTTCAGATCTGAGAAAAAATAATTTGAAGTAGGACTTCTTACATGATATCACTAATAGCCCCCTCTGGCAAGAATCTAGTGTTTCTACCATAATGTGTTTGCAGCTTTTTGATAGTGATTGATGAGACTAACAGCTCCTCATAGGAAGATAGGCTTAATCATTTAGCTGATCACCAGTTTTATGATAATCAAAATAATTTTTTAAACCAGAGAGTTCTTTTTTTTTTGTGCCCAGTCTAGTAATATTATTTTTTTTAGCCTTTTCCCCCTTAATTAAAAGATACCTACCAGAAAAAAAATTTTTTTGAACTGGCCTTCTTGGAATTCCTTTCTCTTTCCAGCAAATTTGAAACAAAATATTGCCATGTGCTCACAGTCAATTCATCTGAGAAATCACTTTAACACAAGGAGGGATCAGAAGCTAAAATTATCAGTTGGAGGATCTTCATGAATATCATTCAACGTTTCCGTTGATTTCGAGGGCATTAAAGTAAATAAAGATGCATAATCTTTCTGGCCACATCCTTAAGGGCTTGTTTTACTTGTTTATTCCTTAGAGTGTAAATGAAGGGGTTCAGTAAAGGGGCCACTAATGTAGTGAGCACAGCTATTCCCTTATTGAAGGCAACTCCTTCTTTTGCTGAAGGTTTTATGTACATGAAGATGCAGCTGCCATAAGAGAGAGAGATAACAATCATGTGGGAAGAACATGTGGAAAAAGCCTTTTTCCTTTGCTGGGCAGAAGGGATCTTCAGAATGGTCTCGATGATATTTGTATAGGAGAGAATCACCAGCACCAGGGTGACAGCCAAGGTCACAACTGCTAAGATAAAGTCAACCAGCTCCAGGAGTCTTGTGTCTGAGCGAGATATTTCTATGAGGGGTCCATAGTCACAACAATAATGATTCAGCACATTGGAGGCACAGAAATCCAGCTGACTGGTCTGGATGATGGGATATAAAATGATTAAGAACCCACCCAGCCCGAGCAGGGAACCAGCTGGACACAGACCCTGTTGTTCATGATGGTTGTATAATGTAGGGGTTTGCAGATGGCTACATAGCGATCATAAGACATGGCAGCCAGAAGGAAAAACTCTGTTGCACCAAGGAATATAGCAAAGAAATACTGAGTGAAGCAGCCAACAAAACTGATGGCCTTATTTCCAGTAGAGGTGCTGACCAGCAGCCTAGGAGTAAAAGTGGTTGTAAAGGAAATTTCCAAGAAGGAGAAATTCCGGAGGAAGAAATACATGGGAGTCTGGAGGTGGGAATCCAGTAGTGTGAGAGTGATGATTGTCAGACTACCTAAAATGCTAAATATGTAGGTAAGGAAGAGAAGAATAAAAATTACAGTCTGAAGCTCCGGGATATCTGTTAGTCCTAGCAGGACAAATTCTCTCAGAAATGTTTGGTTTTTCATTGGTAACCTTTGGTGCCTGTGAAGGTACAAAGGAAATAAATCAGTGATGAAGAGGGGAGAGAAACTCAGGAATATAGAGAAGAGGCTAAGATTTTTCCATTGAATTGATTCAAGTGCTTTTTTCCTGTCAATCTGACTCAAATTGATTTTCTATTGTATGGGGCTGGCTGTCACAAGAACTCTTTTCTTAAGTTCCCAGATAGGAGCATTTTCTCTATGGCCACTTTTTGGGATTATCATGTACTTTCCTAGCCTAATGCATTTGAATTATAGTGTTGGTGAAGAATATTGAGTATATAATGGACTGCAAAAGAGCAAACAAATCTATCTTGGAGGAAGTGCATCCAGAATGCCCCTTAGAAGTGAGGATGACAAGACATTGTGTCACTTATTTTGGACATGTTATCAGGAGGGACCGATCCCTGGAAAAGGACATAGTGCTTGCTAAAGTAGAGGGTCAGTGAAAAAGAGGAAGACCGTCAATATGATGGATTGACACAGTGGCTGCAACAATGGACTCAAGCATACCTACTATTGTGAGGATGGTGCAGGACTGGTCAGTGTTTTGTTCTGCTATACACAGGATCACTATGAGTTGGAGCCTGCTTGATGGCACCTAACAACAACACATCATCTTCTAAGCCAATGTCTAAGTTATTATTTTTTCCATTTTCACTTTGTACATTTTCCCTACTTTTTTTCTTCCTGTTTTTTTATTGTGATAAAAACATACACATCAAAACATCTGCCAACACAACTTCCACACTTACATCTCAATGACATTGATCACATTTTGAATGTTGCATCACTATTATTGCTATCCTCATCCAAAAGCGTTCATCACCATTAACAAAACCTCAATGCCCCCCAAACAAAAAGTTTCCCTTTCCCTCTCCCTCTCTACCCTGGTAATCACTGATAATCTTTGGTTTCTATATATTTGCTTATTTCATATAAGTGAGATCATACAGTATGTGTCCTTTTGGGACTGACTTATTTTGCTCAGCATAAGAACATTGTTCCTGCTTTTGATCTCCTTTTATGTCTGTTAATTTGGCTGTAATGTCTCATTTCCATCACTCTCTTGATCTTAGTGGGAGAAGAAAAGAGATTAGCTTGAAATTGAAGAGATTTTAGGATGTAATCAGCAACACCATGATAGCTATGGTAACCAAAGATACCCTCAACTTCCCTTTGATTTTTTGAATTTATGGACCATCATAACTAATATCCTCAGTCTCTAAATCTTTGCTACCATTGTCTGCCTTCCCTCAGGTCCCGGTTCTTTCATCTTTGATTGTTTCCACAGAGGAACAGATGACATATGTTCAATCAGTTTCCTTCTACCATTCTTATATATCCATGTTTATTAAAAAAAAATTAATTTTGGGCTAGAAAAATATAACTGAAATCAAACGTTGCAAACTTCACTTCGACCTGTCTAATGAATACCTTGAAAAATTGGAGGGCTGTTTACACCATGCTTTGATAATTTGAGTAATTATTTTTTTGTTCTATAGATAAGGAACAGGTTTCTGAATATGTACATAGCTATTATTACAAAATTTGAGTTAAATTTACACTTGTTCTGTAACTTATTATTGTAAAATTGAATTTCTAAATCAGAGAGCTAAGAAGGTCAAAGAGCTTCTTTATATTATTGAAAGATTTATTATAATAGATCCAAGGACAGTTGACTTATAACTTTGAAAATAAAACTCTATTTTTGAAAGTTACACTTGTTAAAATGTTAGTGTAGAAAATTGTGTTTATTTACTTAAAATTGTCAACTATGTTGATTTAATCTTGTTGATAATTAACCTACTTACTGTGACCTGGCTGATCAACCTAATCAACCCTTAACACATCAGCCTCGTTAAGGGACTACAGATTGTTTTAAGATTAGACATATAGTTCAGGCATTCCTCTGTATAGAATCTATTTTCCAACTAAAACTGTAAAATCTATTTTATAATTTAAATATTGAAATATTTAAAACTCATTACCTTTAAAATGCAATGCAGATTTTAGATTTGTTTGTATGAACTTTAATTGACATCCATGTTATTGACCTTACCATTTCTCACCTTCCTTTTCCATATCAACCAGTTTGTAACATGGCTGCCCCTGGGACTCGGTATCAAACATTACAGCTCCATCTTTGTTATCTTGATTTTGACATTCCCTATCCCCACTGAGAGCAATCTCAGCCATTTCCTCTTTTCATCTGCAGTTCTTTCTTCACACAAGGACCTCTGGACTCTCAGTCTCTCACACCTCCGATTCAGTCCTAGAACCCTCTGCTAGCTATACCTGACTCCTTACCAGCTTTGAGGCCACAGCCAGTTATTTCAGTGTTTCCCTCTTCCACATGCTGGACTTGTGTCTCTTTATCCTTCTGATATTCCTGATGGATCAATCGCCAATCTCTAGGGGAGGTGAATAGAAAAATTTTTTTCTCTTTCTTGGTCTCTGAGACAGGGAGGACTGCCTGGAAATCCCTGATAGTTTGCTAATTTACCACTGTGAATTTCTGTTGCCTGGCTTTAGCTGAGGATTCCCAGTTGTTAAGAAAACTTTTATTCATCTGTGGTTTCCTAGAATTTCCCCCACAATGACTAATCTAAGCCCTGTCCACAGTTTTCAAATCCTCAATCCCTTCTGAAAGCCATTTCCAGTAGATCACTCACCTACATTTTATTAATAATTAGTACAAGTCCCACTGGTATGATATTCCTTATCTTCTTTCCTTCTTCAAGACATTTCTGTTCTTAGACCTGTCTTCTCATACTTCTGTTCAAAAGAATAGATGCTGTTCTTGTGTCTAATGTCAATCTCTTTCTGACTCTTGAAAATAGAAAACAGTAACATTTTTAGCATTTTATAAATTAAAAAGCATTTTCATGTGCATACTTTCTGTGGTTATCACTATGATAATAATAAATAATAACTGACATTAACTGAAGGCTTAATATGTGCCAAGCACTGTGATTTTATTTTGATTCCCATAATAACCCTTTAAGGTAGATGTCATAACTATCAGCATTTTGCAAAGGAGGAAACTGGGGTTTGGAGAGGTTGATAAATTGTTTTAAATCCTACAGCCAGGATTCTGACCCAGAGCTTCATGACTTCAGAGTCTGCACACTTGACTGTCATGCTGTGCTGGTTCCCATGCTCAGCCAGAGACAGAGATTAGGATTACATTCTCAGTCTTACAGATGAGATAATGTGGATGATGATACTGTGTGGATAATGATGGGGATGATAATGAAACTGAGGCTCAGAGAAGTTCAGTGATTTGACCAAGATCACACAGTTAGCAAATTCTTTTTAATTTTGCTTGTTTCTCTATTTCTTAATATATTTTTAAGCACTAATTGCATACTCTTTTAAAAATTTCTACATATTTATTTTTTGCCTCTACATTGTCTTTGATTTTTTCCCCCTAGTATCTTCTTAATACAGTAACAGTCCCCTCCTAATTTTTTTCTCCTTTAACTCTGGCCCCTAAAGATGGGTCTTTTATTCTGGCTGTGCTTCTTTTCCTTAAACACGCATTCTTCAAAAGTTGTTTGTCTGTTTTAGTCTCCAAATCAGTAAAATGTTCTGTCTTACACTTCTCTCATGCTGTCTCTCAAACTGATATTTCTAGTTCTGAATTCTTATTTCATTTTTAGCCCCTATCTTTAACCCTCTGTAATACATTTTCTTTAAATATTTTTTCCATTAAATTATACTTACTATATTAAAATAGATCATAGCATGTTTCTACTCTGTGATGCCTTTTTAAATTTCTAAAGTTTATGATAGGTTTTCTGGTTAAATGTCTTAGAAAATTTATTTCTGAAAAATAATGACTCTTACACATATTGTCCAATGAGAACTGGCAGTTTTGTTACTCCAAGCTTCTTGTTAGCAGCCAGTTGAAAGGAATTTTGTTATTAATAAGCCATTGACCCAAATTTATGTTCCTGAGTATTTGGCCATATACATGCAAAAGTAGATTTCTAGTATTTTCAAAAAAATTTTAATTGGAAGATAGTCATTGCATTGACTAGAAAATATATGCCTCATGCCACTAGAGTCTCTCTCTGCTTCTGTACTGTAAGGCTAGGAGAAGATATAGGTGTATGTGAGAGGTTGCCTCTTTACTTCCAGCAGATCTCCTTGTGCAAATCAGTTGATTCAGACATTTAAGCACTATTATCTGAGAATGACAGCCTGCATAGTCAAAGTGTATTTAGCATTTGTGAGATGCTATGTGGACGTTTGATCAAAATAGCCTGAATATCTGTGACACAGGATACATGCAGAAATGTCTGACTCTAAGGTAGAAGTTAACATAAGGGTGCATTCTCTTTAGGCCTTAAACATTTTCTATTTTATCCATACATGTCATCTTTCCAAAAACTGATTGTTTCTAAAGGGCAGGGCAAGGGCAAGAGAATAAATATTTATTCAGTGATTGTAGTATTGTATTTGTGCTAGGCTCTTTATGCTCTTTATATATATATATATATTTCTTTTTTTTGGCATTCATTTATCCCCCAGTAGCAGTGGTAAAAACATAGTGTGGGCAAAATACATATGTATTAAATACATGAAAAAAGGTAGTGCCTTTCTCTCTGTTTTTTTCCTCCTTACTTTCTTCTCCATTTCCCCCTGTATCCTTGGTTATTTACCATACAAATTGTACATTTCCCCGTATCTTTTTTGTCTAGCGACTAATAGGAACTTTCAAGAGTCAGTCTAGGGTGAAGTTGGTTGAATCTCTAAATTGATTTTACCATTTCTTTTCCTACTCCACTGAGCACTGACCCCGGGGTCACTTGTGTTATTTTTCTCTGCTCAGATTTCAAGAACTGAGGGTCAGGCCTCTATCAGCAAGGTTATGTTTTGAGATTTCCTTGTTCATGGCTGGTGCTCTTCTATCACCAGATAATAAAAAACTGTATTTTTTCTATTTGTTGTTGAGGGGAAGGAGAATATAGCATTTC